GCCGGCGTTTTTCCCGCCGCACATGCAGGAGGACTGCAACATGATGCCCTTTCGCGGCTACCACCACCATCCCCAGCTGGAGTTTCCCCCGGAGAAGTGCATGGGGCGGGACGTGGCGGTGCCCTACGCGCAGCCCCCCTCGCACTTGGCCGACGCCATGAGGACTCCCCATCCCTCCGGCGTGTACTACAACCAGATGTGCTCAGGAACTCAGAACGGGCTTTCCGCCCACCTGGGCCAGCTCTCGCCCCCCCCCGAAGCCCACCACATGGAGAGCGTGGATCACTTGAACCAAACCGAGCTGTGGACGGACGTTGACCGCAACGAGTTTGACCAGTATTTGAACATGAGCAGGACTCGTCCCGAAGCCTCGGGCCTCCCTTACCATGTCTCCCTGTCCAAAGTGACTCCTAGAAGCATTTCCTGCGAGGAGAGCAGTTTGATATCCGCCCTGTCCGATGCCAGCAGCGCTGTTTACTACAGCCCCTGCATCACCGGTTAGGTGGGCCCCCCCCGCCGATCCTCGCGCCACGAGAGCCCTCGACTCTCCTCTAAAAAAAAAATAAAAGCCATCCTCCTTTAACCACGAGCTCCATCATATTTAGAATATCTCATTAAATGCATCGCTTTCTTTTGGTGTTTTTTTTTGTTTAATTTTCGTGTTGGGTTTGGGTTTTTTTTAGAGAAAAACCACGCTGAACTCACTGATATACCGTATAACTATATAACACAGATAGACGCCTTCCCCAAGCACGAGCCCGCCGCGCTCCCCGCTCCAGCCCCCGGCAGGGCGTTACCTGTAGCTCCCCCCACCTCGAAGGGGCATTTTCAAGCCAATTCCGCTAAATCCTGCCAGAAACAACCACCACCAGGACAAGCCGAAGTGACCTGCCCCCCCCCATATTTAATCCAAGGGCAGACGAACTTGTGGCGGGGGCGTGGGGGGGGAGAAAAACTTTTAGGAAGGTTTTGCCGGGGCTGTTAGCGAGTCGGCGCCCGTTAGGGGTGGGCTTTAGGACAGTTTTTACTGTATTCTCAGCAATATATTTTAATTGGGCAACAAAACTATATTTTTACTAAGCATTTTTATATATAAAATGGTATTTAATGTCTTTTGAGGTTGTTTGGTTTTTTTTTTTATTAGACTTTTTAAAAATAAATCAAGGGATATCCATGAGATCTAAAGCATTTATGGCAGCTGTTCTGAGAAAAAAAAAAAAAGGGAGGGGGGGAAGGGAAAAGGAGGTATTTTGTGAAAAGGGAATGACAATGTAAATATTGTGGAACAATTGACTGGAATTTTGTACAAAAGAAAAATACGACTGCAAACACTTTTATTGTCTAGAACTGTATGGAGAGCAAACTGTTTTATACTGGTTAATTATTAAAACATCTTCATATAATTGCTCCCATCTTGTGCGCTTGTTGTGTGAACACATATTTTCCGCAAATACATGTTGTCCCAACCGTTTCCAGATTTTTGTATCCGTTGATTAATGTTTTGACAACCTGGCAAATGTATTAATTTCCCGGCTGCCGCCCGC